CGTGGGGGCCTTGTCCTTGAGATGATGAATCTAGATTCTGTTCTTGTAGCATGAATTCCCTGAAAGTTATGAGCGGTGTGATGTGATAGGTTAAGAATCTGGTCCTCGGGCCGGCCTGGTGGCACACTGCTACAGTGCGCTGCTTGGGAGCATGGTGGCGCTCCCGCCGAGGGTTCGGACCCCACATACAGACCGGTTCCCGCTCACTGGCTGAGCGAGGTGCGGGCGCAGCACCGAGGGTTGCGATCCCGTTGCCGGTCCCGGTCCGGTACGGGCACGACACTGAGGGTTGCGATCCGTTGCGGGACACGAAAAAAAACAAAAAAAAAAAAAAAAAAAAAAAAAAGAATCTGGTCCTCTGGATGCTGGGAAGCGAATGGGTGTGGGAGTCAGGAACAGAAGTAGGGAGTCCAGCCAGAGGCCAGCGGCTGACATCCCAGCAGAGACCAAGGGGGGTGGCTCAGAGACACCAGGGAGGCGAAGTGAAGCCGAAGGTGAGAGAGGGAGGTGCTGCCAGCTGCCTGCCTCCACCTGCTGTCATCCTGATTCCTTTGATTTTTGGCCTGATGAATCACTTGTGAGTCATCGCCCCCACAATCATTGCTGTTTTTCCTTTTTAACAATGAACTTGTTTTTCACCACTGATCCATTATGTTACAGGCCAATGATTTTCATGGCGCTTCACCAAATACAATCCTGGGGAAAATTAAAAACGTCATTTAATAACAGATTCTTCACAATGTGGTTCTCACTATGCACTCTGCTCAAGGCTGTCACGAGCTGGCCCACGGAGGGCTGGGATCTGGCTGATGACCCTCTGGCATGTGACCCTGGGGCAGGATGCCCTGGCACGACTCCCCAGGGCCCAGCGTGATGATTCCTATACTGGGCAGTGATCCTAGATTTCGTGACACCTTTGCATGGTTGCAGGCACAGCCTGGGGCACGACACCCACAGCCAGGCGGGCTCACAGGGTGGCCTCCAGCTTGTCAACATTCTTGTGGAACTCACTGGCTGTCCCCAGAACCTGTTTCTGAGGATCCGCTATAAAGCAAGCAGGGGGGGCATATCCACTTTCGGAGCACAGAGGCCTCTATTCTGCATTCACACCCACGTCTGCTTCAGAAACCCAGGCACGGCCTCCACACTCCAGCTCATCTCCCAATTCCTGGGGCCACTTCTGAATATTTCTGCAATCCACCCCTTCCTCTCCAACTCCCTTGGTCTGCCCTGGTTCAGGCCTGGTTCCTCCCAGCCCCCGTCTCTGCTGCCACCTCCTGGCCACCGTTCGTGCCACTACAGGCGGGATCTCTTACACCTGGTCTCTCTGAGTCGTTCCCTCTCCTTCCTTCTCCTCTACTCCTGGCACGACTCCCCAGGGCCCAGCGTGATGATTCCTATACTGGGCAGTGATCCTAGATTTTGTGACACCTTTGCATGGTTGCAGGCACAGCCTGGGGCATGACGCCCACAGCCAGGCGGGCTCACAGGGTGGCCTCCAGCTTGTCAACATTCTTGTGGAACTCACTGGCTGTCCCCAGAACCTGTTTCTGAGGATCCGCTATAAAGCAAGCAGGGGGGGCATATCCACTTTCGGAGCACAGAGGCCTCTATTCTGCATTCACACCCACGTCTGCTTCAGAAACCCAGGCACGGCCTCCACACTCCAGCTCATCTCCCAATTCCTGGGGCCACTTCTGAATATTTCTGCAATCCACCCCTTCCTCTCCAACTCCCTTGGTCTGCCCTGGTTCAGGCCTGGTTCCTCCCAGCCCCCGTCTCTGCTGCCACCTCCTGGCCACCGTTCGTGCCACTACAGGCGGGATCTCTTACACCTGGTCTCTCTGAGTCGTTCCCTCTCCTTCCTTCTCCTCTACTTGACTAACTTCACTTGCTCTTCAAGACTCGGCTTGGGAATCACCCCTAGGAAGCTCCTTTACCCTCAGGTAGGTCAGTAGCTTCACCCACAGTGCTGCAGTGTCTGTTTAGAGGCTGTGTCCATGGCCAAGCCCCAGGCGGCCCCAAGGGGTGACAGCAGCTCCTCAGGGGGCTCAGGTGGCTGTTCAGAAGGGAGGGGCAGCCGTGGGCAGACACAGGAAGTCACAGGAGGCCCCCTGGACATGCAAAAGTCTGTGGCAATTCCTGTCCTAGCTGCTCCTTGGGCCCCGGGAGGACCTGTTCATGTTTTCACTCAGCAAACACTGGTGACCCCTCTTCCTCCCTGTCATATCCGTCCCGGGCCAGGCCCCTAGCTGGGAGTCCCAGGCCTGGACGGGAGAGTGTGAGCCAGGCTCTGCTGGGGTAGCTGATGGGAGAAGCCAGGGGAGTTTAACACTCTCCCAATTCCAAGAGGCTGAGAGGGACCCAGCATCCACAGTAATGGAATTTAGAAGTGGCTGCCCAAAGGGGCTGGCTCCCACGGCCAGATGTCGCCCAGGACACTGGCACTTGACTCAATCTGCTTCTTTCTACACCTGGAGGGGCTCCTATGGCAGGATGGGGGAGAGGCCTCCAGTGACCAGGGGTTTGCGGGCATCAAAGTAAAGACTTTCCCGGAAGCGGCTGCTGGAGGGGGTGCCGCTGAATCCACATTCACGCCGGCTTCCTGGCCCAGGGGCCGTCCAGAGATGGGGACACCCTAAAGTACAGGTAGGGACAGGCCCAGCAGCCCTGGGCTGGGCTCCCCGTGTGGATGCTCTGTCCCAGAGCCAGCGTAGGCACCACTCGGCCACGGTGGGGGACCCAGACCACATTTATTCACCTCCAAAGAGGGCGGGCAACCTGCAGGGAGCCGCAGTCACAGCAGAAGTTAGCCAGAGGGACAGGAGTACGTGGCAACGGACAGAGTGTGGTGGGCAAGTCATTCAGCCTCGGTTTCTCCATCTAGAAAACCTTGTGGCTATGCGGATTGGATGGCACACAGTAGGCCTTCAGGGGACAGCGTGACTGCTCATCCCTCTGGCTTGTCCGAGGCAGTCCTGGAGCCCAGACCTGCACAGACCCACCCACCCCAC